CATCAGACGTACTGGATTTTTTTTTCTGTCTTTGGACTGTGATATACTCCCAGCACAGAGCCTTTTCACATGCTCTTCCAGTCTCTGGAATACTTTTCTTTCCCTTCTTTGCCTGGTTAATTCCACTTATCTTTTAACTCTCAGCTCAATTCTCACTTCCTAGGAACCTTCCTCAACTTTTCTGATTGGTCAAAGCCCCAATTATACATACTTACATTATGTGCCTCTCCTTTACAGGGCTTATCAGAGTTGCAAGTTTGCATTTCTTTTTTTTTTTTTTAAAGATTTTATTTATTTGACACAGAGAGAGAGAGAGAGAGAGAGAGAGCACAAGCAGGGGGAGCAGGAGGTAGAGGGAGAGGGAGAAGCAGGTTCTCCACAGAGCAAAGAGCCTGATATGGGACTGAATTCCAGGACCCTGGGATCACGACCTGAGCCAAAGGCAGACGCTTAAACTGCTGAGCCACCAAGTCACCCCACAAGTTTACATTTCTGCATGTAATTATTTAAATTAAGAAGTTAAGGACCATATACTATTTTGTTCACCATTTGTCTTGCCAACCGTTACCTCAGGACCTTACATATAGTAAGATATTCAATACATGTTTGTTAAATTAATGAAGTATTACTGGCAGGAAACATAACATCAGAAATCTTCCACTAGTACCTGGTTAATATGTTCTATATGACCACTGACCTCTGGGTGGTAAAGAGTGAATAGATTGCTGGGTGTGGTGCATAAACAGTGAATTTTGGAACACTGAAAACAATAAAATTAAATTAAATTTTAAAAAAGAGTGAATAGATTGATACAAGGGTAGGAGGTCTTGAATAATAGTTCTCTACAACAAAACAAAACAAAATGAAATAGAGGAAAAGACATAGCAGCCAGTTAGTCCATGGAGGTAGAAAATCTTATTGCCAAAATAGGTAGCAATGGTTGATATAGCAATGGCAGGCACTGGCAGGGAGAATTAAATTTTGATAAGGGTCCATACCTGCCACTAGGATGGTATCGCTGCTGCAGTGCAAGTAGGAATTATTCTGATGTTACAATGTCCCAGAAACATTGTCAAGCAGTTGAAGACCTCTTTAAGATCACTTAAGCTAATGCTTGATTCAGGAGCATGTTCCTCTGGTGATTGTATGCTTAAAGGTTTCATGTCAGAAAGAGTACTAACAAACATCTTGGGAGACAGGACAATTTAACTCTTGAACATTTGATGATGACTATTTTATTGAAGGGGTGAAGTACATGCCTACCCAGTAAATGTTCAGATGACTGTCTTACTAAAAAGGGTATATTCCAAACATTCTCTGCTTCCTGGCATTGTCCAAAATATCAGTAGCGCATGACTGAATGTAGGTATCTACCTGGTATGGGGTCTTCTCTATTGATTGTAGCCGAGGACATATGATGGTTGTAGCTGAGGACATAGGACTGTAAAGATCTAGGGGAAACCTGAACGTTTTACATGCTAGGGCCACTAGTGTAAAGCTAGATTCTGTAATAAATATTTATGTCTCAAATATTTAATGTCTCAAACACAGCAGAAGTTTAATTTTCATCCAAATAACAGTACAAGGTAGTTGTTCTTTGTTAGCAGGTGACTTCTTTCCAATATAGGGATTCAGGGACCCAGGATATAACCATTTTATGGCTCTACCCTCTCCTAGGACCTTGTCATCATCTGCATTCCTCTATACAAGTGAAAAATAACACGAAAGGCATATATTTACTTCTTAAAAGCCTTAACCTAGAAAGAGCATGTATTACTTCCTCTTACATTTCACTGCTTAAAAGTCAGTCCTATGGCTATACTTAGGTCCAAGGGAAGCTGTAAAATGTGGACTAGTTGTTTTCCCAATAAGAAGGGAAATAGATTTGTGTTGGGCAGCCAACAGACCTAACTTTGTATTCTGTCTTCCAAAAGAAGTTTAGAACCCAATAGTTTTTGCTGCTTGTTTCCTAAGAGATGGCACAATAAAACCTTCATAGTAAGTGCCCACTTTGTTATGTGTGGGCTGAATTTACATGTCCTCCTTAGCTGGTTTAATCTGCAGTGGACTAAGTGACTTGTAATGGGTGTTGGGCTTTTATGCTTAAAAGGCAGCTTTTTTTTTTTAAAGATTTTATTTATTTATTGGACAGACAGAGATCACAAGTAGGCAGAGAGGCAGGCAGAGAGAGAGAAAGGAGGAAGCAGGCTCCCTGTTGAGCAGAGAGCCCGATGCGGGGCTCGATCCCAGGACCGATCCCAGGACCCTGGGATCATGACCTGAGCCAAAGGCAGAGGCTTTAACCCACTGAGCCACCCAAGCACCCCTTAAAAGGCAGCTTTAACGGTCAATAGCTGCCATTCGCACCAGGGAGAAATTAAACCTCAGCTTGGAACCCCCTGTTGGAGAAGTAAGTTCATATTCTAAGCCAGTGCACTCCATCTCAGTTAATGTTCCATTATGCTCTCAATGCTCAGAATAGAATAATATGTGATTTAACCCTTTCCCTTATTTCCCACATGAAAAAAAATATATATATATAAAATTTGTGTATATATATGTGAGCATGTGTGTGTATATATATATGTATGTCGGTGTAAACATATTTATAGGTTGTTTCTATAATTAATAATTTATTACTGGTCAAATTCATCAGACATTCTTCTCTCTTCATCTTTATCTTACTTCTCTGGTATTTATAACATTTTCAGTGATTACTGTCCTAAAAGAGTTCATATTCAAAGGGGAAGTGATAGACAAATAAGCTGACAGCTGTAATTTTGTACTACATTTCATTTTGTTTAACTCTATCTCTAGCATGCAGTCCAGTTCCGTGGACATTGTGGGTACATACTAAATGCTTCTTGCATTAGTGAAAAAATTAATGATGCAAGGGAAAATGGATTCAAAACTGTAGTTGTTTCTTCTGAAACAAATTTTGAAGATTTTGGCCTGATGTTTATGTAAGCTATTTATTTTAATAGATAAATATTCACAAATAGACAATCTATTCCACCTTTCATTGTATTAAACTTCTTTAGTTCTCCTGGCTCACTGAGCTCCATTTCAGAGTCCCTAAAGAGTCAGGATGAAGGCCACAACCTTAGCATTCACTTAATATGCCAACAGAGATCTCTCTCTAAAATCTCCCCTTTTGACCATTGCATTAATTTTCTATCACTGCTTATGATATTGTGATTTCTAGTAATATATATATAGTAATATGTATTACTATATATATACTATATATAAAACAACACCCACCTATTTATTATATATATATATTCTTCATCAGTATTTCTAGCACAGAGCTCCTAAAACCCTTAGAATTTCCTAAGTGGGGAGAGTAGTAAAAGTGTCTTTTGTTATGTTAATGAGACTTGGACCACACCTAAGGATGGGAGCTAGTTAGTTGCCTGAAAACCCACCACATGATTAGAAGATTTGGCGGTTGGGGCGCCTGGGGCGCCTGGGTGGCTCAGTGGGTTAAGCCTCTGCCTTCAGCTCAGGTCATGATCCCAGGGTCCTGGGATCGAGCCCCACATCGAGCCCCACATCGAGCCCCACATCGAGCCCCACATCGAGCCCCACATCGAGCCCCACATCGAGCCCCACATCGAGCCCC